AGAGTTCAAGGTGAGCGATCTCGTATTGTTGTTCAGCTCAAGGTTGAGGATGTTTCCCAGGAAATTAAAGTCTAAATGGAGTGGCCCTTCTGAAATTGTGGGTGTGACACCTTTTGGCACATTGGACTTGAAGAACAAAAACAATGAAATATTCCAAGTCAATAGTCACCAGATGAAGCACTATTTGGAAAAAGTTGGAGATAGCCACGTCGTGGCGGTCATTCATTTCAATTGATGGTATTCTGCATCGTGCCGCGACATTAAATCAGGCGCTTCTTGGGAGGCAACCCATGTTCTTTTTTCTTTTTTTTTCTTTTGTTCGTTAGGTATTATTTTTGTGCTAACTAGATTTGAAGTGTGCTGCAGGGATGAGTGTGCCTTACAGGAATTCTGGACAGAAATCAGCCTAAGTGTTGCAACACTTGCGAACCATAGTTGAATTGTGCAGACCGCACATTTATAGTTACTGCAGCAAAAGTGTTATGTGGATGCACAATTATCTTGCGGACTGCACAAATGGAAGGTGAAAAATGATAACTCTCTGAAGTTGGCCTATCAGAAAAATTATCAATTTGCGGTCGCAACTGGAATCTGCGGTCGCACGCATCATTCTGCGGACCGCAGACAAGACACCAACTTAAGCTCACCAGGTAACAGAGTGCGGACCACAACTGAAATTATGCGGCCGCACTCGCTCATCCTTCCATTAGAAAATAACTAGTATAAATAGAGGGCCAAGGCAACTATTGCACTTTTTCCTCTTTGAGCACAAAACTTGCACTATATTAAAATTTCTTGGTGAATCATCTTCCCACACGCCCAACAATTATGATCACTCATCCCTTGCACTCATTCACATTTGGTATGCTTAAATTCCTTATTATAAATTTTCATTTTTTTTAGTTTAGTTTCATTATTTTTAGGCCATTTGTTAATAGAATTCAATTGTGCATTCATGTGGGGGTAAATCTGTAGTGGGTTAACTAGTACATGTTCTATGGGGACTGGGTCAATGTATTTTCATGCCTTTATGTTGTTACTATGTCAAAATTTGCACAATAATTGCAAAACCTAGATAGAAATACTGGACTATTCGTGTCTTTTTGAATTTTGCGGCCGCATGTTTAATTGTGCGGTCCGCAGAATTCCCATTGCGGCCGCAGAATAACCTTTTCACTGTCATCAAAGAGTCTACACTTTGTGACTCCAATGTGCGGCTGCAGGTCTAATTGTGTGGACCGCATAAATCATGTTGCGGCCGCACATCAGCCAATTCTCTGTCATCAGAGAGTTGGCATATTTTGGGTTTCTGAGATGCGACCGCAAGTGAAATTGTACGGACTGCACTTCACTTTTGCGGACGCAAAGCTAAATTGTGTGGTTCACAAAGCCTCATCTGTGGCCGTAATAAAATTGTGCAGATCACATATCCTTACCATGCGAGCATACTGTGTCTGTGATCCTCACTGTGTTTTCTGGTGTATTCTTGCATATCTCTTGTGTATGCCTGAATATTGAATTGTAACTAACAACCACATTTGCTTGATATAGACAATGGTCCGATCTAGAGGCAGAGGCGACACTTCCAAAAGGAGGGGTGAACCTTCTAAGGGACGAGTCAAGAGAGATTTACCTCTTGCCCAACAACAGGAAATCAGAAAAAAGACAACAGCCGGGAGATGAAGAGGTGCAGATCTCTCCGAGACGAGTTCATACGCCCCCATCTAGTGACGTATCAGAGGGTACCTCAGCCTCTATTCAGGAACAACCGACAGTACGGTCCAGGCCGCCAGAGAGATTTCAACTTAAGGACAAGCCGTCCACATCCCACAGCACTTCTAAGGGATCAAAAGGTGCTAGCCAGGCTTCTGAACCTTCAGCAACACCAGTCCCTATGACACAGGATACACCCATTCAGGACATATCCGATGATGGTAGAGGGGGAGAATCCACAACTGCTGAAATTGAAAGAACAAAGAAGAAATAGGTTTGGGAGTACTGATCCGTCAGCCTAGTAACTTTCATTAGTTTCTGCACATGGTGGCCGACGAGGTCGCTAATACTTGAGCGACAGTTCTTACTAACAGATTTAGAGAGGTACAACCCGTTCGTGTTGAGGCAGTTTAGAGAACACAAATGGTGGATGTGGTTTACCTAGAGTGTGGTGGATGCTAAGGAATACTCTTTCCGAGAATTTTACGCTACTGTGGCGCATATCAAAAAAGGGACAAAGGTGACAAAAGTGCAAAACCTCAAAGTGCCATTTGATCAGCACACACTGAACACATACTTGGGCTTTGATGATGTCGAGCCAAAAGAATACATGAAAAAGTGTGCACTTGGAGATACAGTTCGTCTTTATTTAGCGGAGATTCTAGCTGCACCAGGACCACCACCACCATGGATCACCGATGGGGTTCCTATCCACCGAAGCACACTGAGCTTCTAAGTAAAAGGGTGGAAATTATTTGTCTGCATCAGACTGGACCCGAGTCAAAATGAGACTCACTTGCCGATTCCTCGGGCAGTCTTAGTTTCCTCTATTATGGCTGGGTACCCTATCAATGTGGGTACCGTGATGTCGTCCAACATCTCAGTGATCACCCGACAGGATGACTCTTCCTACCCGTACCCCAACACCATTACAGAGTATCTTACAGATGCGGGGGTGGAACCAAGGGATTTTGATGCAAAGGTGAGGCCGAAGAAGCCTTTCTCATGGTACTTACACTACAAAAAATGGGTAAATTATGGAGGTTTATTTGTGGAGGGTATAAGTAACCTCCGAAATTTGCATAATTTTGCGGCAATATCTTAGTCCCACAAAATTATACAATATACGAGGTTCTAAAATATCCGCAACCCTAAATAATAGCGGGTAATTTATTTCACACTCCCTCCATTTCCCCCCAATCTTTTTGCCCTAGAAACTTCTACCTCACAACAACAAAGACACTGTCTTCTTCTTCTTCTAACTTTGTTTTCCTCACAACAACAATCGCTTGATTGGAAGAGATAATATCCAAATCTCTTTTCTTCTAACTTCCACCTCACAACAACAATCACCACCTCTTTTATACCTTCCAGGATTGATTTTTCTCTTTCTTTCCTTATTTTCCCTCATATGGGTTTTCTATTAATTTTGAATTTTTGTATGTATTTTGGTTGTTCTGTATGAAGTTTTGTGTGCCTTTTCCTTACTTTCTTTGTGATTTTGGGTTTAATGGTCGATCTCTCTACAGAAATTTTTGTGTGCTTTTATTTCTTTGTGCTTTTGGGTTTACTATTCTAAATGAAACCAACCAAGATTTACGTGAATTTGCTATTAGGAAGGTAGAATTTGGGGTCAAAATCAAAATTTTGAGTTCAATTTTGCTATTCTAAATTAAACCTAATACGTATCTAATGTGTAAGAAATTAGCAACAAACAAACAGAGCTGACATTTCACAAGCAATTGAGCAAAGGAAAAAAAAAATCAAGAATTCTGAGAAATTTACAATTTAGGAAGAGGGAATAAATAAACTGAAAAATAAAATTTGACAGACTTGATTGTTAAGAATCTTGGACTTTGTTTGGAATTCCAAAATTTTCACTTGTTGTTTCTCTTCTTATCTGTTGCCTCTCACTTATCTTGGTTTCTCCTCCCCTTTTGCTTTGTTGGACATGTTAAACACCTAACAGAGATATACTACAGTATCATAATTGAGAATAGTAAATTTACTGATCATTTGAAAATGCATATCAATAGAAATAATATACTTTTTGTCTTATGTGTGTCTAATTAAAGATTTTACTGGTAATTTATTAAAGCTAAACGTGAGTCTTTACATCATTGGACTGTCAATGGAATAGGTAATCATTATCCTTTCGTTGTTGTATAGGACTTTAGAGTGTAATTGTGGAAATTTGTCTAATTGTGGCTCTTGGCTATCTGTTGAATTTTGTCTGATATTTCTGGTGATTTCTGACTCTGAAATCTTTGTTGCAGTGGACTGTTGTACATCTGTTGCTGCTTCACCTATCTGCTCCTATGTGTGGCTGTTACTATTTGCTAGATTCAAGCTAGGACTAGGTTACTTTAAAAATTGATGTATCTTTTGATTAGTGTATTGTGGATTGATTTCAGTTTTGCTATCTAATATTACCCGTACTTCCTGTTTCTTGTATGTTTCCTATCTGGCAATCTTTCTAAATGATGTGGAGAATATGGAGTTCTTCTAGGTCTTCAATCAAGTTGTTTATATTTGAACTTGAAGATGTTACCTTCATCTCCTTATATTCTTGAACTGCTTGTTCATATGACAATTATCAGTAAAAGTCTTGCTTTTTTATATTCTATGATGCAATTTTTATATTCTTAAATCGCTTGTTTCATATGGTCAAGTTATTCTTAGTTTCACAGTAATAGTATCTTTCAATATAATGAATTATTCAGACCTCTCTATACCATATCTCTTACCTTCACATTTTTGCTTTTATTTTTATTTATTAAAGATTCATATGGAGATACCAAAAGGCTCAAATTGAAGACTAGAGAAGCATTAAGTTTACCTCAGGGAGAACGTGTTGTGGTGGAGTTTGATTGCTTGGATCCGATTGGCGAAGCACAAGGCATTCTTGCAGGCGTATGTGGCCTTTTTGCAACTGACTGTACCATATTTTCAATTAGCTTTGATAAATGGTCGGATATGCCTAAGTCATACTTTAACGACTGCTTTAATAACATTATAAAGGTATAAGCTCTATATCTTCATAACTATATCTCAATTTTGTTTTTTATTTTTATATTTGTATATAAAATATAAACTAACCAAAATTTATTTTTGAAGCCTCAATTCTGTTTTATGACCATTGAGGAAGTTGCACAAGAATGTGTTTATCACTCTATTGCAAAGAAGTGGGTTGCAAGTAGGCAGAAGTTGTGGTATGAGTTTAAAGACTCACTTAAAACCAAAGATGAGATTATGGATAATGTTTCGGTAGGTATTAATCGGGATCGATGGACTTCCTTTGTGAGCTACCGTTATAAAAAAGAAACTCAGGTATTTTTCTGAAACGTCACATTGAAATGCATAAAAATATGATTATTCATTAATATAATTGACTGAAATGTATCTTATTGTTAGAACATGTGTAAAAGAAATGCTGAAAATCGGAAGAAACAAACAGTTCCACACACCGGTGGCTCCAAACCTAATTCTAGAAGAAGGGCTGAAATGGTGAAAGATGTCACATTATTTACCTTACTTTACTATTTAAATTTTATATATTTTATCTATTTATTTTTCTTTAATTAAACTATTCTGATTATTTTTGTTTTCATACATAGATGGCTGAGACAGAGAGAAAGCCTGGGCGAGCACAACTTTATCTTGCTACACATACGAAAAAGGATGGATCATATGTAAATGATTAGGCAAAAGAAATATGTGTAAGTTACAATATAAGACCATTACACCTGCATCATTATGTTTGTTTCAACCTTTAATGTCATGATGTTTTGGTCTAGTCTATTGACTGACTCTCAGTGATGATTCTGTTCATGTTCTCATGTTGACTTCTTTGCCTAAATGACTCTAGTCGGCAGTCTTGTTCATGATACTATATTGCTCTGAAGAGCTAAGATAGAATGATCTATGTGTGACTAATCATGAAAACTAGAATAAAAGGAATCATATGGTGAACTTTGTTGGCATAACTTGCTAGTGAACTTGCTCGCATGTCCAAATGGTAACTTGTTGTGGTTTGTTTGCCCTGTCTTGGCCAACGGAAAAATGAATGTCTTTACTTGTTATTCATGACTATTTAACAACACTGTTTGGGTAAACCTCATTCATGAATCTGAGTAGTGTTTGGTTATGATTATTCGAAGCATGATATACTGTGTATTATCATGTTTAGATATCATCCCCATTAGGCTTAAATAAAAAATAAAATTTTTCCTCATGGTCATGTTGATATCTCTGTTAATCTAGTTGATTGGTATGCTTTTTGGAAACTCTTAGTATGGTCGTTAGCATAAGGGTTCAATGAACTAAGGTCCTATCTATGTGCATACTTGCTAAAAGTTATTCTGAAAGTTGTTACAATATTCTATGATTTGTTCTAATGATTTAAACCTACTTAGAGAAGGTTAGAAAGTGTTGGACCTTAAAGGAGGATGATAAAACAAGTGCATATACCCATCTTTGTCAACTACTGATGCTCTAGGCAACTTAACATGACATTCCTAAATTTTAAAATTATAAGTAATGGAGCTTATCTACTAGCAAAACATAACCAGACATTTGTACTTTGAGACCTTGGATTGATTGTGTAACATTAATGATTCTCATGAGAACATATGCCATGTAGTAATAACCAATTTATAATGTTGGCTCAGATTTTTTTGATGTGTATCTTGTTTAGGAAACAATTGAGCTAGCAGTGAGTGAAAGTACAATGGATGAGTCTGAAATTTCTCCAAATAATGTTGTTGTTAAGGTTCTAGGCAAAGAGCATCCTGAAAGGGTGAGATGTTTGGGATTAGGAGCTACTCCAAGTAATACTTTCAGAGAGACAAATCTTCGTCTTGGTAATATTAGAATTATGAGTAATAATATTGGATGTTGTTCTTCTGAATGCTAAGAGAAGTACAATCAATTGATGAATACTCTCAAAGCATACATGATAATGAAGGAAGGGCGAATACCAGAACAATTTGCTGGGCCTCCTACAATGGTAAATGCTAAATTCTTTTATTTTTGGTGTATTGTGCAATTTTATTTTTTATTTGTGAAGTGCTAGAGTCACTATGATAACTAGTGTGACTATGGAGTTTTGGGACTCCATAGTCACTATGAAAAATCTATAATTTGTCTATCCTTTTACACCTAACAAGCTGGAGTACCACAATGAATATGTAAGTAGATTGTTGGCTCAGTTTTAGCAGGCATTACCAGCATGCTGCTTTTACAGCTACTCTTTGTGACCTACAGACAACTATCTATAACCACAAAAGCTCTATAACCAGGTGCAATGGATGATGTTTCAATTAAAATATAAGAAATAACTTTTAAGCATTGAGGTGGCTGAAAAATAAGATATCTGAAGGGAAGGAGGAAGTGAGACAAGCAAAAACAGAGAAAAGGGAAGGATATTAATATATTTTATACCAGGATTTAAAGTTTGCACTTGTGTAAATAAACACACATACTACTCTAAACATGTCATACACAAGTAGAAAGAACTTGCATATAATCCTAATGTAGAGTAGTTACATGACAAAATCCTAAAATAGAATTCCACAGTATGATCCATGACAGAATTCTCATAAGTAATGTCTTTGGCACAAGAAGACTCAATGGAACTTCAAGTAATATCTCCAAGTGGCAAAGTATATTTTATTTCTCATTGAGATAATTTTATTTTATCTCAATGACTTGTTTCCTGATACTCCTCTTAATAGTTGTATTTTCTTGTACTTTTTGCTTCAGCCAAGTGATGCAGCTAGTAGACTCGTTTCACCAGCGAATGTAAGATCTTCTGGCGCTAGTAATCCCAGTGACAACCATTGAGATTCATTTTAATTGAAGTGGATATATTAGGACAATGTAATAGCTTGACTAATATAGATGGTTAACTATGTTCTAATTTAGCTTGATGACATATGATACTACTCTGTCACAGTATTTTTCACGGTTAATGAAATGTTGATGTTTCTTAATTTTAATAATGTTTTGGTTTAAGCATAAATATTTCATTTGATATTAGGGAAAAAGCATGGCATATTGATGATAAAAATCAATTCTATAATATATTTAAAAATAGATGAGGTTAAAACCCACAAAAAGAAATTGAACAGATCCTGATGGTGTACACATAAGAAATTGCGGGGGTTTACAACCCCTACACTCAAAAGAAAAATAATTAAATTTTAAAAATAAAAACCTATTTTCGCGCATGAAATTGCGGAGGTTAAAATTGTAATTTGTGGATTTTAGAAACCTCCGCTATTTGCTATCACGGCAGTTCGGGAAATCCCCGTATTTATCTGTCACAAATTAATAGTGGCGATGCTTACTGCGAGGGCCTGCTCAACCGCCATGACAACAAATAGCGGAGGTTTCTAAACTCCGCAAACTGCAATTTTAACCTCCGCAATTTACCCATTTTTTCGTAATGTTACTTATGGATGTGAACAACCCAAAGAGAAAAAGGTCAACCGTCTACCACCACATACCAGTCTTATGAGCCAGCTGTGGTAGTTGCGGAGGCAGTTGATGATCCATCCACCACGGCTGAGCCTTCCTCTAGTGCCGCAGCTATGCCTCCACCATCATCTTCAGTCCCTAATGCAGCTCCTGCCATAATTTTCACCTAGGCTTTGAAGCCGGTGCCCATGCACACTGCTCCACTTTCTACGCTGTGAGTCTCCTAGGCATTGGCGAGCCTCAACAACTGGATGCAGATAACAAATGCGAAGTTGTCTGACTTATCCAGTACTGCTGCAGCACAGTCTACTATTCAAGTACCTCAGTTTCCCTCGACAGTTGATGAGACATGGAAGAAGATCCTAGAGAACCAGAACACCATCATGGCTACCTTGGTACAACACGGGTCAGTGATTGAAGAGCTGGAAAAAGAAGCACAGAAGATGAGGAAGTCCCAGGCCAGCAAGAATTCAGTAGACAAGCTCCGATGACAGGTGACTAAGCTTTCTACAACCGGAGATATCCCCTTTGACATGTTGATTGACCCACACCCTTCAGGCCCAGACCCTGTAGCACTATCAGCACCGGTGGCACCAGCTAGCCAGTCTAAGGAGTCAGACTCTGCTGCCGACACTGCTGAGGCAGTGTGCCAAATATTCACCAACCCAGTCACACCAAGAGTTGAGGATGATGAGATTCAATTGGATGAGACTGAGGGCGGTGACATTTCTGGGGATACAGAGATGTCCAAGGAGCCATAGGGAGTTTTCTTTACTCTTTTTCCTCTTTTACTCTTATTTTGTTAAGCATTGGGGGTGGAGTTTATTGATCATATTTGGTACATTCTGAGACATTTGGCCTGTAATAACTTGATATTATTTTCTTTATCTATTTTTTTCTTTCTTATTGTATATATATTCTCTCTTTTTCTCTCATTATGTGTATTAAGTAGATTTTGTTTATTAACTTCTTTATTTTTGTTCCTTTGTTAGTTCTTTGTTTGAGCTAGTAGCTTCTTTGTTTGATTTAGTAGCTTATTTTTATGTTCTAGTAGATATTAAGCCTTTGATTTTCTTAATGCAACGGTTCTTTCTAAAGGTAGTTGTTGTGTGAACCGGGTGACTCGTCCCAATAATGGATGGCATGACAACCTTCTTAAGGGATCATCTTGTAGGGAGTTGACTTGTTCTATCACCGGAGGAACTGGTAGTCATCTATTCCCTCTATCATTTCTTTGACTGATCATGTTGGAACTTGTGCCGGACATGTGACTTCTTGTTCTTGAGAACTTTGAGGATGTGTAACAGGTTCCCTATCTGATTCTCATACGAAGTTTGCTAAATCATCAAAATACAAAAGTTATATAACTTATCAATTTTTCCCTTTTTGATGATGACAAACTTATAATTAAAGTTCCCCGTGAGAACTAGATCTCCATATAATTTACCTGCAAAATAACGAACTTGTTTCCCTTTTTGTCCCCCCTTCAATTTTCTTTCCCCTTTTGGCATCATAAAATGAATATATGCAAGAAAACGCAAAAAGAAGTCCAGCACAATTAACTCATGCTACATGTGTGCACACAACATAGCAAAAAATAGAGCACAAGAGTATAGCATACATAGCGAAAGACTGAGATGCTCATTAATTAATAAGAGAAGAAAACAGAGGTAGTAGAACCATTGTTACAAAAACATCCACATAAAAACAAACTTAAAGTACCAGCCATAACAACAACAAGCCAAAAGAGACATTAGGGTTAAGACAAAACTCGTTCAAACTAGACACTAAGAAGGGAACTATTTAAGGGGCATTGGAAGAGGGAGGGAAGGATGAGGAGGCAAGGGATTTGAGAAGAATATCCACTCGAGCATTTGAAGACTGCTGTTCATTTATCACCTACTCTTTTAGGTCCTCGACCTGTTTCCTCAGGTATGCATTTTCAGCAGTCAAACGAGCAACCTCTGCACCCTGTGCACTGCTGGAATCAGGTTCCTTCTTGGCTTGACTGAGCTTCCTCTCAAGAATGGCATTCCTGGCCTTCATCCTCCTTATTTCCTTATTAGCAGCATTCTGAGCATCAATTAACTGAGAAATAGTAGAATTGTTATCGACACCCTCTTCTTGTCAATGCACTCACACTCTTCCAATGTTGACTTTGAGAAAGTTTGCTCTCGAGTTCCGAATGTTGCTCTTCCTAAAAGAACTTTGAAGAATTCAAACACTCGAGTGAGCAAGAACCCATAAGGCAAACCATGGTTCCCGTCCTTGAAGCCTGCCACCTTTTTCATATGTTCAATCATGATACCAGGCAGATTGGCGGTGGTGTATGCATCTAGAGCTTCCATGAGGAACAAGTCTGCTTTTGAAGCAATGTAACGCCTTTCTGCGCATGGAAGAAAGACGTTGTTTACCATTTCAAACATAAGTTGATACTCTGGAAGGAGAGCCTTCTTGTTCACCCGTTCCCCTTGCCGAACAGGCTGATCTTTTAGAATGACCTTTCTAAAGTCAGGGGAACATGTCCCTTCAATAGATGAGATCCCTTGAGTGGGCACACCCAAGATACTTCCTAGAACATCCTCATCACAAAATCTACTCCATTAACCTTCAAACAGCTGTTGTCGTCTTACACAGTAAATTGATCTGTGTAGAAACTGCGAACCTCCTCTTCATAAACCTTGGGACTCTGAATGGTAAACAAATGAGTCCACTTCTGAAACTCACAGATTGCAAATAGTTGTCTCGTGCCTGACATTTCAAGAATGTCAGCATCAAATGCTCTGCCGCATAGCACCCTTTGCTTCTTAAGGTTTTCTCTTCTCTCAACTTCAGACACATCCACTTTGGCTTTCTTGGAGGTACCATGATCCTCTTTGTCACTTGCCTTCCTCTTCAAAGACTTCTTCACACATTTCTCATTCTTTTTACACATACTTTTCTCACCAAAATCCTCTCCTGCAATACTCTTCTCTTTATCAAACTCCACCTCTTTCACAGACGATCCTCTCTTGGGCTTTGTAGTCACAAATTTCTTAGAGGATTTACGAATTAAGGAAGAAGGTTCCTCATTCACTCATTCATCTTCAACATTCACAATGTTTGCCGGAGGCACATCCTTTTCATGAACCAGCCTCCTTCTTTTCTTTTCCTCCTTGTTTCTCTTCAGAGCACTCTCAAGAGCTTCTTTCATCTGCAGCCTAATAGTAGATCTTTTAAGAACATGCTATTTGGGAACTACCCTACCACTTCTAGCAGCAATGAATCTTGCCACAGTTACATCATCATAATCTTCCTCACTATTATTATTCTCCTCTTCAGACAAGGGTCTCATCTCAGGAAAAGCAAAATCTAATGGCATTGCATCAAAGTGAGGAAAAAGAACATGGTCAGTACTACCAGGGGCTCTTTTGAGGAGCATGTGGTTTCATCCCAAGTAGGAGCATAGTGCTCTTTTTGGGCAGAAGGAGCAGGTCCCTCTGTTGTTTCCCCTGTAGTACTGACGGGCACCGTGTTTTCAAGAGGCATCGGTTCCCCACCTCCAACTCCATTTCCTTCTCCTTTCCTCTGATACCCAGCGGTCACATCACCACACTCATACTCCCCAACCAACCCTCCATCGGTAGTAATAAGAAGCATATTTTTTATAGCTTCTCTCTCACTCACACCTAACAGTGTAGAATCAGAAGATGCGGGAGGAGCATTACCTGTCGGAGAGGCAACACTAAGATCAAACGTTGGATCAGGCACTTCTGATGCTTCACCCCTGCCAGCAACATCTTGTTGGGCTGCCGAGACTTCCCTAGCTTGCTGACTTGAGACCTCTAGTCCCTCTTCTATGTCCTATATTTTGTTGTCTGCCATTTTTTCTAGCGAGGCAGAGGGAGAGGTTGTAGCAACAAATCTTTTGGGGGTTTGATTTTTACGACTGCGATGAGAATCAGAACTCGATGGGGTTGGAGAAGAAATAATGGGTGGTTGTTGGTCTGATTTGGGTTTTTGACTGGGTGATGGTTGAGACTCAGGCTCACGCTCTAGTTCTTTATGAGATGAAGACGCAGTGGAAGTGACATTGGTAATATTTGAAACCTCTAGATTCTAGGAAGACATTGTGAATTTGTGAAAGTAAGGACACGAGAAAGAGAGGGTTTTTGAGAGAAAAAGGAAGTTTGATGGCTTTGATGTCGATAGTTGTGAGAAGAATGTCTTTTGGGGTTATTTAGAGGGCATGAGGGAACGGTAATAAAAGGATGCAACAGACTGGGTAGATGGGTCGGTTTGTAACGGGTGTGACTTTTGGGATTTAAAGGATGAGAGAGAGAGAGAGAGAGAGAGGCAAAAACATTTAATGATGTGGCACTTTTATAACCATTTAAAATGTGCATGAATGTAAAAGGAACTACTAACCTGAGTCAAGGGAATCAGGTTCCCTGACTGAGTTTTGTAAATGCGAGCCTCATCTTTTTACCAAAATGCAATATTATTAGCTTCTTGTTTGGTCTGTGGTTGTCATGCGTGTTTACCTATAACAGTATAGAAATGAGTTAAAAATTTCCAGAAAACACTTTTTAGCAGTTTACCCGTTCATTCTTTCATAGCCAATCATTGAGGGACTTGGTGCTCAGTTTGATTTTATTAGTCCCAACGCCAGTCGATTCTTTTAAAAGTACTCTCTTCTCAATGCTTTGGTTAAAATATCAGCTACCTGGTCCTTTGTTTTGCAAAACTTCATACATATAAGACCCTTTTGAACACTATCCCTGAGAAAATGATGCCGCACATCAATGTGCTTTAGCCTCTTATGCTGGACCAGGTTCTTTTCCATGTTGAGAGAACTTGTGTTGTCACACTGTAATGGCACACAATCAGAAAACACACCAAAATCTTCCAGTTGTTGCTTGATCCAAAGCAATTGAGCACAACAGGAGAAAACTACCATATATTCAGCTTCTGTAGTAGAAAGAGCCACAAAGTTTTATTTTTTTGTACCTCATGAAATCAAGCATGATCCCAGAAAATGTGCCATGCCATATGTGCTCTTTCTATCCACCAAGTAACCAGCATAATCATCATCAGCATACCCAATTAAGTCAAAATTATCTCCTAAAGGATAGTAGAGGACCAGGTCCTATGTTGCTTTGAGATACCTTAGAATCCTCTTGGCAACTTTTAGATGAGATTCCTTTGGACTTGATTGGAACCTAGCGCATAATCCCACACTGAACACAATATCAGGTCTGTTGGATGTGAAATACAAGAGTGAACCAATGATACCTCTATACATGGTTTCGTTCACAAGAGAACCAGGTTCATCTATGTCTAGACGAGTGGCAGTGGCAATAAGAGTATCAATGGCTTTTGAACTTTCCATCTCAAATATATTAAGAAGCTCTTTAATGTATTTTTGCTGACTTATCATCATTCCCTTAGGGGTTTGCTTAACTTGCAGACCTAAGAAAAAGTTCAGTTCCCCCATCATGCTCATCTCAAACTCGCTTCCCATAAGCTTGAATAACTCTTCACATTAGGAGTCATTTGTTACACTAAAAATGATGTCGTCAACATAAACTTGCACAATCAGTAGGTTCCTCCCTCGTTTCTTCAAAAAGAGAGTGTTGTCAATTTCCCCTATTGTAAATCCATTTTCCAGAAGGAACCTGGAAAACCTTTCATACCATGCACAAGGGGCATGCTTTAAACTGTATAGTGCCTTGTCGAGCTTGAATACATGTTCAGTATGCTCATGAATTCAAAACCAGGTGGTTATTTGACAAAGACTTCTTCCTTTAAATACCCATTCAGAAATGCACTCTTGACATCTATTTGGAAAATTTTGAATTCCATATGAAATGCAAAGGCAATGAGAATTCTAATGGCTTTCATTCATGCAACTGGAGCAAAAGTCTCATCATAGACAATACCTTCTTCTTGATTATAACCTTAAACCACTAACATGGCCTTGTTCCTTGTTGTATTCCCAAACTCATCAAGCCTGTTTCTGAACACCCATCTGGTTCCTTCACTGTTCCTCTTAAATAGATGGATTTCATCTTGCATAGCAGTAATCCAGTTAGTATCTTTCAATGCTTTCTTGATATTTTTAGGCTTAATTTGACAAAGGAAAACTGAGAAGACAAACATGCTTCTTGTCTTTGATTTGGTTTGAATCCCTGAATCAAGAGGAGTGATCACATTTTGGAGAGGATGTGAACTTTGTGCTTCCAGTTGGACAACTAAATCTCATTGTCAAAAGACATAGGTTCCTCTGAATGGTATCCATCGTTAGCGTCAATGGAAGAGTGAGTTCCACTTCTCCGCTTAACATCAGGAGTTCCTTGCACGACACCAGCAACTATGTTCTCTGCTTCAGTTATTGTAATAAAGGAACCAGGTTCCTCTGTATTAGCTAGAGGTTCTATTGTGTCTTCTTCATTTGATTCCTTGACTTGACTCATCAAATCAACATTTCCATTTTCCATATCAATAACTTATCCAGGAAACTTTGATTTCTCTCTATCTTGATCATTCTTATCATGTGAATCTTTCCCACATAAATGGTGTGATTCATCAAAGATTACATGTATGCTTTCTTCAACACATTGACCTTTTGTTATAGACCTTGTATGCTTTGCTTTGTGAGGAATATCCAAGAAAGATTCCTTCATCACTTTTGGCATCAAAATTTACAAGTGCTTCCTCGCCATTATTGAGAACGAAATATTTGCAACCAAATGTTCTCACGCGAGTCAGCTTGGGTTTCCTCCCGTTCAGCAATTCATACGGGGTCTTGTTTAAGAGGGACCTGATCATGTACCTGTTTATCAAATAGCAAGCAGTGTTGACCGCCTCCGTCCAAAATATTTTTGTTACGCCACTATCAATTAGCATCGTCCTTGCCATGTCTTCGAGAGTCCTATTTTTCCTCTCTACAACACCATTTTGTTGGGGTGTTCTGGGAGCTATTAATTTATGACTTATAGCATTTTCAGCACAGAATTCATCAAAGTTTTCATTGTCAAACTCTGTGTCGTGATAAGATCTTATGCTTACTATATTATGGCTAATCTTCACTTGAATCTGCTTCACAAAGGCATCAAAGACTGGAAAAGTTTCATCCTTGGTTCTGAGAAACTAGGTCCATGTGAATCTGGAGTAGTCATCAACTATGACCAAAATATACTTCTTTCCTCTTCTACTAAGCACCCTCATAGGTCCACACAAATCCATATGAAGAAGATCAAGTGGCCTCGAGGTGCTTACTTCCATTTTTGGCTTGAAGGAGGACCTGGCTTGCTTTCCTCTTATACATGCATCACATACCTTGTGATCCTTGAACCTTGACTTAGGCAGCCCATGAACTAGGTCCTTATTAACCAGCTTGTTCTGCAATAAGAAGCTTGCATGTCCCGATATTCTGTGCCAAAGCTCAACATTATTATTAACAACACCCAAACATGTAAGATCCCCACTGTTCAAAGATTCAAAATGAGCGACGTAGATGTTTTTGAATCTTTTTGCCATTAGAACCACTTCACTAGTCACAAGATTGGTGATTGTGCAAGTCTTTGATAAGAATTCAACTTTGTTTCCTTTGTCGTAAATTTGAGAGACACTCAGTAGGCTGTATTTCAGGCCATTCATATAGTACACATTCTCAATTGAGTGAGTGGGTGTCTTCCCAATTTTTCCAACTCCCAGAATGTATCCCTTTTTGCCATTACCAAAGGACACACTCCCACCTTGTAGGGCTTTGAGTGAAAGGAAATCATCAGTGCTTCAAGTCATATGTTTAGAACAGCCACTATCCATATACCATCTTTGGCTACTTCCTTTCACTTCTCCTTGCATAAGGAAATCAGAGATTAGACTTAGGAGCCCAAACACGTTTGAGTCCCTTGTAGTGAGGAAAAGGGTGATTAAACTTCTTCTTGTTAGCAGACATCACACGTTTTTATTAGAGGGACCAGGTTCCTTAGCAGTAGGTACTTTTTCAACAAAAAATTTGTTTTTCTGTTGGGACTGAAATCTAGCTTTACAGGATTTTTTAAAGTGCCCAGTGTTACCACAGTGAGTGCAAAGCCAGTTATCATGGACAGTAACATACTTGCTATGTGGGTTGTAAGGAGCCTTTTGTTTTTTCTTTTGGAACCCAATTCCCTACATGTCCCCTCCTCCCCCTTTATACATGGAAGTAATTGTATCAGAGGACCAGGTCCACTTTAAAGATTTATCTAGATCATTTTTAACCCTGCCTAAATTTTTTTGAAGTTGCCTATTTCTTTCAAGTTCAGCACACATACTCAATTTCACCATTTCTGTTGTGATAAGAACTCTGTTTTCTCTTTTTAATTCTTCTACAGTTTCCTTTTAGATCCACACCTACTACCAACAAGTCATCTCTCTCATGCTCTATGTTTTCAATTTTTTCAGTTAGGGCATCTTTTTCTTTCTTTAAATCCTCAATGGTTTCTTTTATATTAACCACTACGACTACCAAATCATTTCTCTTATGTTCTACCTCTCCTAGTTCCACAGTTAACACATTTTTATCATTGATAAGATTATGAATCTTATGATAAGCATTAATCAGAACATTAGCTAAGGATACAAGCTTCTTTTGAGAATAAGACTTCAAATTTCTTTGAACGTGTAGAAAGTTTACCTCATCGTCATCATCATTTTCATCCTCGTCAGATTTTGCCAACAGGGCAAAGATGAAGTCATATTCAGCTGATTCACTTTCAACGGCCATCATAGAGGTATCTCCTTGTTCACCATATCCCTCAGACTCGCTGGAGAAATCTCCCCATGCAGCAAGAGCTTGTTTCACAACATTGTCAGCGACATCTTTTCTCTTGAATTTCCTATCAGGAACCGGGTTCCTCTTGGTTATTTTGTCTGTGTTGTGCTAGTACTGGTCTTGCTTGTGGAGAGGACAATCTTTGATGAAATGTCCTGACTTTCTGCATTTATGACACAATTCATAGCCTTTTGGTCTATTGGAGCTGCCCTTTTTCGGAATGCCTCCATTTCTGTGAACTATTTTCTGAAATCTTCTTGTCAAATAGGACATGTCATCATCCTCACTACTTGAATCATTGTTGTCTGCCTTGAGGACCATGTTCTTTTCCTTTTTGGGTTCTCTTCTTTCATGATCCTTCCTTTTCTTTATTTCATAGGTCTTCAGATTTCCAATGAGTTCGCCAATGGTCAGCTTTTGCAGATCTTTTGCCTCTGTGATAGCATTGACTTTACTTTCCCAAAAATCAGGTAATACACTGAGTATTTTCCTGACAAGTTTGTTCCTTGGAATGATCTCTCCTAGAGAGTGGAGCTCATTGATGATGGAGGTGAATCGAGTATGCATGTCCTGAATGGACTCATCAACCTTCATCCTGAAGAGTTCATACTTAGTAGTGAGCATGTCGATCTTTGGCTGCTTGAGTTGTTCCATCATGTACGGTTTGGAGAGCCTCCCAGATCTCCTTGGCAGATTGATAAGCAGAAATTATGTTATACTTGTCTGGTCCAATACCACAGACGAGGATCTTCTATGCTCAGAAGTTTTTCCTTATAGCTTTGCGGTCAGAATCGTTGTAGTCCTTCCTTGTCTTTGGAACGGTCACTGCTGGCTCGTCAATGATCTTCATAGGGACGAAGGGTCCATCACAGATGACATCCTAAAGCTCTGAATCTTCAGCCATGATAAAATCATGCATCCTTGTCTTCCACCATCCATAGTATTGTCCGTTGAATCTTGGTGGTGTGTAGGTTGATTGACCTTCTTTAAAGTTTGGTGGAGCAGCCATGTGAATCTTTTCTAGGTGTTAGCCTTATAGAAAGAATCTGCTGTAATACCAATTGATGTAAAATTAGAGTCCACTAAACTGTATAGAGAACCTGATTCTCTACCAGTTCCCACAGAGCGCGCACATACACACAACAGTAAGTAAATGATATAACAGTGTTTTATGTGAAATACTCCCAGCTCACGGGATTAAAAACTACGACCTACGCTCATAGCATTTCAACTTCACTAACCGAGCAAACTTTAGATTACAATCTATTGTAATATAGGAATTAACATCTTAATCCCTCACCTACTTGCAATAACTCTATTGCAAGGCTCTTTGTAATAACTCTATTACAAAGCTAACACTTTGACTAACTCTAGCCAAACATAGACACAAGATTAATGTTTTTACAAACGATGTCCTACAGAGTGTTTCTAACTATGCTGAGAAGAATGACATGTAAATAACACTAACAAAGATACAACAATACTAAGGACATATTATAGACTCAGTGCTGGGATTTGGTTTTTTGTTCTGTTGCTACTTTGTTCTTCAAACTTTTGAGTCAATGATGGCTGCATCACAATTGAGAGAGACTTAATGATTTACGGTTTGCAAGTGTGTGTTTTCCATTGCCTCATGTTGGTAATATATAACTGAGGTCATTGGGATGATGTATGCA